CGCCGTGGCGTTTTTACAGGTCGTGTGCCCACGCGTGGGTGGAGACACGATGGAGGTCATGGCGGGTGATGGCAGCCACCAAGCCAAGGGACCACCCCCGCGTTTCGTCTCAGGGGTTTCCGTTCGATGACCTCGTAGATGTGGCTCTACAGGGTCCCCCCCAAAAGACCCACAAGTTGGTACCCCAAGAAGACGGCACCATGGTCATATTAGCTCATCTCTGCCCTTCTGCAGGGTTCAACGTTTTTTTGGGCCTTGGTCCCCCGACATATCCCACCCTCCATGACGCAGGAATACGCAGGACGCCGTCCTCATCCTCCGAAAAAACACCTGAGCCCATCTTGGGAGCCTCGCGACGGGAGCCGGCCCGGAGACCCACGGAAGTGGACTCCTCTGGTGGACAGGCAGGGAAAGTCACGTTGGCGCCCGCGAAAGCGACGTTACAACATTGCGGTGTCTGGTGTATGTGATTGTTTGTGAATCTGTCTGCCCGAATGGTTTTTGAGTTGTCCCACCATGTCCCACCCACTGGGGGATGTGGGGCGTGCTTCATTCGGTGCAAAACGGTGAAGGGCATCTCGGAAAGGGATGTGAGATTTCAAAAAAAAACTTTTGGAAGGTCAAAAAAAAATTGTGGAACACGGGCATTCATAGCTGACCCATCCTGTCTTCCCGTACACTGTCTTCCCGTAAACATGCACAGGAAGATCTTCCGGAGACTGGTTGGTGGGCTTGAAGTCAGTAAAAAAAAGTGAGTCCGTGGGATCAATCAAAGACTTTGGATTAGCGAACACGAGCAGGATTGAGCACCGGCTGATGAGCTTGAACACTTCGACTTCAAATGGATCGGACTCGGATGGACACCCCATGGAGAACGGAACATTTCAGCCACCATGAACAACTCCAACCCCAAAAAGAACCCACCACGAACCGCGGGTGTCGTGTTCCCCACCTCCATGGACTTGACGAAGGTCAAGTCGAAGAGGCCAGACCTCCGATCCGATCCGGCAGACCTCCGTGGGTTGAAAGGGGTTTGATACCCAGACGCGACCCATGAGACTGGCATATGAATCCATACAGACATTGGGGGGTCAATGTGGCGGCAGTCCATCCTGGCAGTCCCAGACAGGTCGGGTGATATACTGTTCGGACCTGTGCACATGGTCATAGATGGTGTCGGAGGACTTCGGCAGTTGCATGCTGTTGCTGTGTTTGAACCGACCACGAACCTGTGGTTCTCTGGAGTCCAAGCAGTTCTGGTATAGAGGTTTCCAAAGGGTAGTACCTATGCTAGCTAATATTGCAGTAATAACATGTAATAACCAACATTGTGAAAGTCAAGTGTTGTTCTGTACAACATATTGGTTACTTGGTTTGCTGAGTGTTGTCCGAAGTTCTCCCAATTGACTTTCGACCAAAGATTGATGTCAGCTCTGTCTTCGTCAGAGTGAACAACCTTCGATCTTCTTGGTCAGAACGCGCTCGGAAAATGACTGAACGAGGTCAGTCAAGTTCGATGCAGTGCGGGGTCCAACTACATGATGTTGCTGTATGGGCAAGAACCATAGAAATACGTCGAAGCACTCTCTTCAGTGTCAGTGTCGAAATCGCTTGGGTGTGGGTCCCTAAATGGGACGAAAACCAACGATCCTGGTCCATCTACAATGGTACTGCTACCAAATACTATCTAGCACACCCCACCATGTGGGTATTTGTTCACTGTGCAAGCCCCGTTAGTTCAACTAAAATGCACAAACATACATGATCATCGCATCATTGGGCTTGCAACTGATCGAGTGGGAAAACCCAGCTTTTCCCACAGCCCATGGACTCATTGACCAAAACCTCTCCCAAAGAACTCCTTAGTTTCATTCATTCAAGGCATTCGGACGGAAAAAACACATGCTGAAAAAGGTTGAGATATCCCCCCACCTCAGTACAGCAGCAGCCGATCGTGAATTCTTAAAGAGGTGCTTCAACGCAAAAAACCAGTGATGATTCTTGGGACTGGGTGGATATACCAGAATCCTACATATATGATTCTTTGAAAAAACATGTATATTCAGATTCTTGGTACGTGGAGTAGAGATATGCCAAATCCGACGCCATTGGATCCTCAGCCACTGCCCTCCCGTTCCCAACGCGTCATTGCCTTAAACGGAAGAGCGGCCATCGCACGGCCTGGCCGGCGTCCCGTGCGGCCGTGTGAGCGCCGAGAGGTTCGTGAACTGGGGCTGTTTTGGGTGTAAGGATCGCTTGAATGTGCTGTCCAGGACCCGGAAAAACATTGAAAAACAACATAAACATTCCGCAGAAAAGGATTCATATCCATGAACATAGAACACGCCCTAAGCAACCAAGATCTCAAAGATGAGCCGAGAAGACCGCTTTAAAGCAGCCCGCATTTTACTATGGAACAGGCCCCAAGAGCTACTCCATGCTTCTACTTTTAAAGGATCTCTTGTAGGAGAAGTTCAGCCGCAACTCCCTACGACCAACTTGTTTAACACGTCGCACTGATATTTGCTGGTGGGACTTGACCAAAAGCAACTTGCGCGGTAGGTGCAGGTATTTGGCATGTTCCTCTGCAAAAGAAAACAAACACCCCAAGAAGAGGAACTTCAGTGCTGAAGCCTCGTGCCAGCCGAGGAACAACTTGAAAGACTTTTTCCCGGGAGGATCCTCCAAATGGCGGTGGAGTGCCATCACCCCATAACCCTGGTTGACCGCGGATCAAGTGCACCGATTCATCTATGCCCGGGATGTCAACCCAGCGGGGGTCTCACTCCGCGGGGGTCGCTCTGACATCAGAAAGCAAGGTGCGCCCGCTTTCGAAGGGTTTCCGGAAAGCCGTGATGGCATCCCCCAATGAGGTCCGACATTGGAAGTTTTAGAGGGGTCAGTCTGTGCCGGGTACATTTGGGTATACGTTTTTGGAGGGTAAACTTGAGGGCATCCTCTCTATTAACCAATCAACCAAGGCCGCACTCGGCCTGCGGCCCCCCAGCCCTTCAGCTTCCCACGCCGCTTCCCACGCCACGCCTTTTGGAATGCTTCCCACTTGGGGGACTCCTGAACCAGTCGAAGCAAGTGAGCCGAGGAAGTTCCACTGAAGAGGTGAATGTATTGGGACAGTGTCCAATGGATGTTCCATGATGTTCCCCACAAGCTGGGTCGTGTAGAATGGACTTGAGTTTCTTCCGCCATCTCATGAAAGAGGTGAAACTTCGAAGTTGGGTCCCGGCTGTTTTGATCCGAACATGAAGCTTTACCAAACAAACTCCACCTGTTCGTTTTCAGTGGGGTGTCCCCACATGTCCCAAAAAGGCTAAAGGTTGTCCACTGACAGGGTAGGGAGTTGGGAGGTGGGGAATTCATGATGTAATTCCTTTCCTTGGAGCCAGTAACCATCATTCTATAACTCTTCCGTTCAACACCCCCAATATTACGATCAGTACAAATCCGCGGCTATTATTATTGTATATAATATATACGAATTTGCTTCAGGAAGGTTCTTTGAAATTGTGGTAAGGCATCCGAAAAAATGAAACAAGTGGAGCATGGAAACCTAAGCTACATGGCCATATGCTCCCATTGATTAGCACTCTGAATACTTGAGGATCGCAATACTATTGAGCCCTGGTTGTGGTTCGATCATATCATTAATCAATGGAGTGGAGGTCACACACCAAGGTTCTGCATGACGGTGAACAAAGGGGGGTCTGGATTGAATCATGTCCATATAAGTGTCAGTGTGGAGGATTTACTGGGAGATTAATTACTACTTGATCATGAACAATGAAGAAATGCGTTAGCTAGAAGGATTCTCAACTAACACTTTACAGGTACACTCTGACGAACACTTTACAGTGGATGGGTGGATGACATCGGCTCTTTTTATGGGAAGACTCATTTCCTCAGAAACAGGTGGTCTTCCAGTTCCATGTTTGTGAGCGGGAGAGTATCTTCATGACCGTCATTGCAACATTCTCGTACGGCAGAAATCTGTCCCATACACTCCATGGGACTGGCAGTCCGGACTGCCATCCCCCCCCCCCCCCCCCCGGCCCCCCCCCCCCGCCCCTTTTTAAGGCAGTCCCAACTCCCAGCCCCCGTCCGGTCGTGTCTAAGAGGTCCCACACATCCCGGACGGTTCAAGGCGAGGTTTTCCGTCGCGTTCCGCACCGCACGTTCCGCACGCCGAAGCCGAAGTCGTCTGCTGTTCTCGCGCGGAACGAAGAACGCACCTTATCCAAGACCGCACTGATGTTCAGTAGCTCCTCAACCTGGCGTGAAGAACCAAGAAAACCCAACGGAGGAGGCTTCTGTCTTGGAGGATGCCCAAGACTGGCAGCACACAGAACGAAACACGAAAGATCTTCACTCACCACGAAACACGGCGGAACATGGTGGAACCATCGACTGACACGGTCAGACTGGCAGGGCAGTATGAAAAGCTTTTGATGTCTAATGAACACATGTGCTCTCAAAAAAGGAACGAGACCACCACTGCTTGGCTTTTCGATCACGAGACCACTGCGACAAGTCGACTTTCGGACACATGCGATGTCGAAGCTGGGAGGCGATGTGAAGGTCTGGATACTTCTGGATCTATCTCAAACTAGGCAATTGGGATATCCTTTATGAATAGGAAGTGGCTGGGGAAAATCCTTTTGTTTCCGGTTGTGACTGGGTGGAAACCAAAAAACCCTTCTGTTCACCCCAGCGTGAAAGGAACGCAGGAAAAAACCAGATCAAGATCACCAGCCCTTCCTTTTCCACCCGCCAGTGGGTTACGTCACACCCCACCTTTCACCCGAACCGAAACACCCCAGGTTGAACCGAAGCACCGAACCACCACCGCCACGCCGCCGCCGCCCATTGGTGTAACAACTCGTCAGTCCTGGCTGTCCTGTCCCCTTCTCGGCCCCCGCTTTTTTCTTCATTCGCTGTCACTCAAGTAGGCCAAGGGGTCTTGTGGCCCAAGGGGTCTGGTCTTCTCAGGGCCTCAAGACGACGAAGCCGGCGGAAGTGGGACGCGAAGACGACCGCGGGATAAGACGACGCGATCGGAGCGAGGCAGATCGAGGAGATCGATATCCAGATATGCCCCTTTTGATAGCGATTCCAAGGGGGCCGAAGAAAACGTGTCATTTTTAGAGTACCATAGTGTTGATGGAATGTCAGGGGGTAGGTATTGTCCTTCAGATGAAAAATGCAACCAGTTTCTAAGATATGTGTTATTAAATGACCTAGATAGATCATGATTGGTCTTAGATAGGAAATGATAGGAACCTACATCCAGAAACCAACGTGTATGAAATGACAATTATCAATCAAGAAGGTCCGCACGATGCCATGTTCTTTGGGGGTTGTTTTGATCATCAAGTCAAGAACTCAAAAACAAACACCACATCAATCTGCAGGACGTTATCTTTATGAAATCACTGCACCACTCCTGAACAGCCTCGGCTACCTGGCCAAGTGAAATCTTATAAAAAGACTAAGGTGGATTTGCCACCAATCTGGCCAAGTTACTGACCTTTCTAAGATGATCAGGGTAAACTGATTCTCGTTATCATACATGTGTTCACCATCCCTATCATCCAAACAAACCATTTAGATAAGGGAAAGGGATCTTCATAAGGGTACAGTCTTGGGGTACAGTCTTTCAGAGGCGTAGGAGGGAGTCTCCAGCCATTTTGGGTGAGTAGTTGGGCTGAGACAAGCCTGAGGAGACGTATCTTTGACAGACCTGAGACCAACAAGAATAGAAAGGACGTCAGCTCGTACGACTACTACCTCTACCCACAAACTGGCACCTGGTACCAATGCCATTTTCTCGGTGACCACCAGGATCTTCACCAAATCTGCCTCTTCCACCACTGAGTTCCAAGTCAATTCCCAACACCTCACCTGCTCAGCTGTGCAAGTGCGCACCAAAAACCACTTCTCTTCCCACCCCCTCCACCCAACCGTCCCAGCCGCCCATGGGCTCTCCGTGCCCAGAAACTGGACTCGATCTCACCGAGCGCGTCCACGCGCTGGCGCTTCGCCGTGGTGGCGAGGTGCTCGTGAAGCTCCAGGCGCTTCAGCCGCTGGTGCTCCTGAGAACCGGAAGAGCTCCGGTCCGGCCGGTGGGGACATGGAGACCGGTGGAGACCTGTTGAGACCCTCCGTTGAGAACGAAAGGATTCATCAGAGTTCTCGTTCCAGTTTTGGACCCATGGGAGACCCAGGGGAGTTCAGAATGAACCTCTGTGAAATGGTCCGTGAGTCCGGAAGCGTCGGGCTGGCAGTCGTTGAAATGTCATGGTTCTTCATGTTCAATCCCTGAGTTTCCCAGAGTGCTGTTTAATACTACTGCTACCGTTTGCTATTTGAGGTCCGACATGATCTGCCTGTCGCAACGGGAAATAGAGGGGTGGCAAGGGAGCAAGGGATTCTCCGAGCAATGGGTCACAATGGGTTCTGCTCCTGTTCAATGACCACTTTCACTAAGATTAACATGGATAAACTGGAACATGCCCAATCAGAAGCAATCAAAACCTGCAAAAAGCTTGGAAAGGCCTGATAGCAAGTAGAGTCCACCAATTGACAGGTACTAAAAGCCTACAGTAACGAAGTATGTCCAGTTCAGTTCACCGGCTTGAGTGGCATTAGTTCCAACCCAAAAAACATCTATGTGTGTGTCAAGTCAAAAGCAAAGCACGAGCAAAGTTCCTAATCTTTGACAGCTTCAAGACAGGGCTCACGGTTCCAAAATCGAACCCTTTGGCGTTGACTTCACCTTTCAATTCGCAACGGTTTGCACCTCAAACACGACCAACTTCTGCCCACTTCCAAATCGACCAACTGATCGGTGACCGAGACGCAGCTTCGTGTGGGACCCAGGAATGGGTCTTTATTGAAGTCCAAAATCAATTGGAAAAAAAACATGTTTCCAGACCATCAGTTATATCATTAAATCTAGCATTTAGCGACTTGCAGTTGTCCGTTTCGACTCCGCAAACGAACCATTTCCGCCTGCTCTTGCGCGCGCTTCTGTGCCACCAGCTCTCGCTGCTCTTCCAGCCGTCCCGTGGCGCGGCGCAGCCGCCAGCGAGTCCTGCCGAGCGAGGACGAAGGAGTGTCATCACATGGGTCGATCCCAACAAACCAGAAGGAAACAACCAGAACGAGATGAAAGAGTGATAGTTTGATATATAATATACATATACATATATATATATATATGTTGGGTCTATGCAATTTCAGGGCCCGTTTTGGATGATGATGATGATGATGATGATGATGATGAGGCCTGGTTGCAGGCCGACGACATCTCTAAAAATGTATAAACAATTATAAACACGTGATTTGCCTGTTTACCGATGTCTACCGACTGTTGCAGGTAAGAACGGACCAACCCACAGCATCACCCCTGCCAAGTAGCTTCCGCGAAGGAAGCAGTGGGTGTCGCATCAGTGGGATTGGATGCTGCTATTGCTCATTGTTCAAGTTTATGTATCCTGGCATGTCAAAATTGTGAACCACGTTCCACATCATTCATTCAATTCCAGAATTCAGCGATTCCCTCGTCAAGATCAATACAACAAAGATATTGAAACAATGGGAGTTGACGCTTCTAGGAGGGTGTCCCCATACCCATCCTTCAACTCCCAATCTTGAAACTTGACATAAAGGTGGAATGTGGCAGCTGTCCACGGACCTCCATGTTCGTGAGTCAGAGTGCGCACTTCTTCATAGACAGCGCCCAGTCATCCCTGGTGCGACCACGCGCCTGGCAGGAAGCAATTGCCTCCAAGAAAGCAGCCAGTAGAGACCAGGCAGTGCATCATCTTCGTCCTGGTTGAGGATGAAAAGTATTTCTTTGACTTATAGAGAAATGTTGCGGGGCTACTCCTTGCAATTAATAGTTGGCTGGAACCTTTGTAATTAAACTGGGAATGTATACTACGTATGTGTATATATACTTACATACATGACATATGTGCCCAGTTCTAAGTTCAGTCCTGAATCTCAACAGGGCAGGGGACTCAAAATAGACATATATAATAAACAATGAAAAGCATTGATTCAGACATTACTGCAGGGTATATATAAAAAACATGCCAGAGCAAAAGTGCAAACAATATTTGAGAAGGTAAAAGTCGATAAACATTGAAAAACGCAAACATTAATCCAAGGAGTGCTATTACTAAAGCAAAGAAGAGCAAACTTTATTGTATGGGGTTGTACTATTCAAGGTGTCTAGTGTGCGGGGCTACCTCCTTTGTGTAATGGATGTTTGCAACAGATTGAAAAGACTAAATAAGGGATATTTTAAAGTAGCTAAAATGTAAAGATCAAAAAGGAAAACAGGTTTCAAGGATTCTTGGGGTGGCCTTCCAAGAATGTCAGAAAACAAAAAACATTGCAAACATATTCTGAGACTCTTGGCTGCCAACCGGACCCCTCCCAGAAACGTCTGTAATATTGTAGTTATATAATTGTGGTTGTTGGATTGTTTGGTGTTCTTTATGGGGTCCTCCCCGAAGAGTCTCAGAATATTGTTGGTTTTGTCTTTTTGATTTCCTTAAAGATGTTCTTTCTTGGGCCCTCGCCACAGAGTCTTTGATTTCGAGCCAAAATTTCGGATTCCAACTGGTATAAGGTGTCACTTCAATCATGCCTGTATGATGTATGAAACATCAATTATACGGTTATACCCCGGCTATACCAGAAAGTGCTGTTTTTCTCTGCGTTTGTTCACTCTGTTTTGCCGCTGCACGTTTGGAAATATATGTTGTTGCTCTTGCTTCCAGAGGTTTGTGTAGTGGTGTTGTTTCAAGTTGATATTGACTGGAATCCTGATGAACTCTTTGGGTTTTCTTCTTCTTTGCGAAAAGTGTCCGCAGCTAACATGTGGACACGGGCCGCTTTTATGGGGAGTTGGTCGTGTCTACAATATTGGCACAGCTCCCATCTTTAAGCAGTTTGTTGGAGTACAACACAAGCAACAAGAGCTGCCGTGCCACAGGTGCATGGTGTTGAACGCAAATGCTTGCTGCGCATGTTCAGGGACGCTTTGGCAACCGCAAGTTGAAGACTCAATTGTTCCTGAGCCGCATCCAAGGAAATGTAACCAAACTGCCTATATCTGGATGGGTAGCCACGAACCGAATCTTGAGCTGGACCTTTTGCAATTGAATTGATGGCCCTGTTGTTGGGCAAGTAGCTTTCACAAAATCTATATTGCTTGCCTAAGCGTCTCACTGAGGATGCACATGTTTGAAAACATGTTGCGTATATATTTTGTTTGCAAAGAATGCTTCTGAACACTGCAAGCGTGCCATGTGGAGTTTGAAGCACACAGGGCAGCTACCTTTGCACATGTTACACGCAAAACATGGTTCTGTGAAGCCCACCTTTTCTATATCGCGAAATTTGCAATTGGTTATAAATGTATATGATCAGGGGTAAACAAATGGCTGAATAAGCCAGGCAGGGACCCAGAGGTTCAACTGAACCAAAGGCCAGGAGTCAACAAAAAAATAATCGTGGCCGACCACAAACTTCAGTGGCCGTGCTTGAATTGATGCAACCAAATACATGGGGTGAAAAAATTGCAGAAAAGAATGGTTTTCTTGGCCAAGTGAAAACCTTCGCCTGCCATCAAACTTTCAAGGAAGAGGGGCCATTCACGACACATACATACATGCATATATTGAATTGGGTGGGTTGATGATCCCAGGAATAACACAACAATCATGTTTAACGCCGCTTATTGGCGATGATAGCAACCAACGAGATGCAGCGACCCCCGTATACCCCAAAAAACCCTCTTTTCAGACCTGGCGGAGACCCTGGACGTGCGATATATAGAGAGAGATATCTCTATCTGGCTCCACTCCACCAGACTCCACCAGGGTCACCAGGGATGGTAAAAAACATGTGTCTGTGCCCCCCTTGCTTAGAACTGCAAGACAGCAAAGATCAACACCTAGTATCAAGGCTTGGCAAGCCCATGCCTTCTTTTTAAAAGCGCCACCGGTATTTCGCCCCCAACAAAATAAATGATAAGTGATGACAGTGGGGGAAGAGAGGTGGGGAGGACTAGATAGATAGATCGATGGATAGATAGATAAATAGATAGATAGATAGATAGATAAATAGATAGATACATAGATACATAGGTATGATACATAGATACATAGGTATGATAGAATAGGTAGATTAGATTAGATTAGATTAGATTAGATAAGATAGATAGATAGATAGATAGATTAGATTAGATTAGATTAGATTGGATTACATTACAAAACAATACAATACATTGGGTCTATCCTATTACCTGTAGCAGTGGATGATGATGGTTAGTAGAGGCCTTGTCCAAAAGTAGTGATAATTGTTTACTGACTGTTACAGGTAATAGGACAAACCCAAACAATACATTACATTTCTTTACATTACATTACCTTAGGTTAGATTAGATTAGAGTAGTGGATGGATGGATGGATGGATGGATGGATGGATGGATGGAAGGAAGGAAGGAAGGAAGGAAGGAAGGGCCTGTCCATGGTATGTTGCTTTGGCCCTGTTCAGGTGCGTCGCACCACTCCGGGGAACATGTCCAGGAGGGTCTGGGTCTGGGATCAGTGATGATGATTAGCGAACACCCAACCTCAATCCCATATCTCTTTGCAAAACCGACTCAGACCCCCCCTCTGGAAAGCGAAAACAGCCCGCGTCCAGTCACCGGGACGCGACGCTGCCACGCGACCCGTCCTCCTCCGACCGCCCGGTCGCAGCCGAGGTCGCAGCCGAGGTCGCTTCGCTCGCGGCCGAGGTCGCTTCCCTCGCTCCCTCAGCGCCCAGGAGCCGCTTCGCTTCAAGGACATAGGGCAGCGCGGCACAACCTCTGACCCGTGGGACCCGCGGCAACCCGCAGGGGTCACACGATCCGGACGAGGATCCGTTTGAAGGCGTGGTTCAAACGAACGAAGGAACACCGAACGGTCCACCGGTTCGTTGAAAAGTGGGGTGGTTCCAATCCCAACACCTGCAGGTTGTTGAACTTCGGTACGGTCGACGCAGTGGGGATACCACCTGCCAATACCCCCCCCTCGCCAGGAGTAAATAAGATGGGGATCTCAGTTCAACCCGAAATGTCCGAATTTCTCCGCCAAGTATTGGAACAAACAAAGAACACTTTTGGGCATGTCTGGCGCATTTTTTGGTATTTTCCACTAAAGGCAAATTTCAATGGGCATGTCGATTGGATGGCCTTACATCCAAGGGCTCGAGATTGCCGATCAATCGATCGGAGCCACTCGCGGCCCCA